ACCCACGACTTTTGGCTAAATACGCCACTACTCTACACTTGAGCTACCGTAACTTCGATCGCTCATGCTGCGAATTGCTAACAATTGCAATAAAAACGGGTAGTCGAAATGAGAAGTTTGTGGCATGGACGATCGAAGTCATTGTAGCTCAAGTGGTAGAGCAGCGGCGTATTTACCCAAAAGTCGTGAGTTCGAATCCCACCTGTGACACAAATTTTTCATTTACAAAAAATTATGTATAATTAATTGAGTATTTATACAATTAAGCATAATCTGATAAAAATAATTTAAAAAAGTTAGTATAAATAAAAATATAAACAAAAGCGGCATGTTCAGATACTTCGGTAATTTTTTATTTTTATGTTTTTACTTTATACATTATTAAAGTTTTACTTTTCACACTGACTTTTTTATCTCAACTAAAAACCTTAATTAATTGAAATATTTAACTAACAATTTATTACCTAGTTTTGCTCTCAATAATGTGAATTACCTCCTCTGGCCTCGCAACACAAAAGTGTTTATTTAATAAAATAAACAGGAATAATAAAACAACTTATACGTCATTCGTTTAATTATGTGACTTGAAATACACTCAAAAATAAAAAACAACCTAAAATACACTCGAAGTTTTTTGTTTATTTCAAACTATATGAATTTCTATCGTTATATTTATATACAATATACTTATTTTAAATGTAAATCTAAATAAGACCAGAAATTCGTAAGTTTTAATAAATTTCTTTTATCTGTGATGGGTTGAAAGAAAATTCACCAGAACCGAAAATCAATTAGTGATTAATTAAAATTTAGCCAAAAATTTATTATATAGTTTTACTCTCAATAATGTGAATTACCTCCTCTGGCCTCGCGACAAACAGACATTTCATTCAACATATACATATCAAGGTGAATTTTTTTAAACTTACAGTTAAGGTTAAGATTAAAAGTACGTCTTTTACCTCTCTATAGACATAACATAATCTACAATACAATTAATTAAGGTTTTTAGTTGAGATAAAAAAAGCCAATGGCACGAGCGGGATTCGAACCCACGATCTTCGGCTTGATACGTGGTTGAGATGGGAGGTTGGTGTCCGAGAGGATCGAGGTCACGTTAGTTCAGGTGGTTGAGCAGCGGCGTGTCAAGCCGAAGGTCGTGGGTTCGAATCCCTCTCGTGCCATTAACTTTTTTTCATCTCAACTAAAAACCTTAATTAATTGTAAAGTATTAATTGGTCAAGCGGACCACGATACTAGTGAATTTAATAACCCACAATACTTCTTTCATAAGTTAAATTATCGTTTTCTTATCTAATTTTACTATTTTCTCTTTCCAATCTTAGACAGATGATTCAAATTATTCCTCAATTGTAAAAGTCTATTCTATAACGCTCTACTCAAACCGTCATGGACTTTCTGTACAAAAAATATGCGGCACAGCCAAAGCATCCAATTCTTATCGAATCGAATCCTTCCAGTCTAAAACCCTTCATTTTTTTTTTTTGCAAATGTGTCTTTCTATTTGTCCAATCATGACATGAACATCTCTTATGTTTCCTACGACATCAAATCGAGGTATAAAATCCACTCCATTGTCATCCCAATTCCTTAGTAAACCAACTTGTTTAGCCACATTTCCTGATAGCCTTTCTACAATACCGACTGAAACACCGATGTCCTCGTGATCTCATCTTGAGTGGTACAGAGTGCCAAGTGAATGCTTAGATTTACTTATATCGGAGGACTTATCCGCCCAAGTCAATACAAGCCAATTATATTTTAATGACACGATTGAATTTGTATTTAAGTTAATTATATAGAATAAATAAAACAAACGAAAATATTCAGGAAAAATGATTCGGTCTTCCGAGTGATGAACCTGTATTTTTGGCGGTTTCGATCATTTTGGTCTGTCTATTCTCGCTGGTTTGGCCTGACAAACGCATTTCGACTTCTCGACATCTTTAATGTTTCTTAAAAACAGACTATACTAAATGATAATCAACCCGATCCACCAGTGATGATGTCTCGAATCCGAAACGAGACAGACCAATCAAGGGAACTTTATTGCTATGGCTTCATATAAACAAAATGTAAAATAATTTACTGACAATGACAGCATATTCATTTATATAATTTAGATCATCGAGAACTACCATGACATTTGAAAGAAATAGGTAAGCTTGTTTAAAATAGTCCTCAGAAAGGACATAAAATGAAGATACAACTTTGAATTATGTCAGCATAGCGCGTTCAACACGACGGAGAATTTGCAGTCGAACCTTTCACGTAAATGGCACTTAGGAAGAATGAATTTACCTGGGGCACAAAGTAAGCATGAATGGCTAGGCTCCAGAAAAAACAAGAATAATTTGTATTGGAAGAAGATGTTCAGCTCGTGTAAATACCAAGCTAAAGACCAAACTGGCGGGTAAACTGGTTCTGCCCTGTGTTGAAATATGGCTGTTAAACATGGATCTTGGACAAGATAATTACACAGAAATTGAAAATTACCGTCAGCAATATAGAAAAGTACGTATTAGCCACGACTAGAAAAAGTGGTTTACTGACATAATCAGATGGCTGCACAAAGACAGTGCAAATTAGCTGGCCACCGAGGGAATGCCAAAAAAGTAGAAGACGTCCTTTATGAATGATCAGATAAAAGAAAATTTGGCTATGGCAAAGCAAATAGATAATATTGACAATAAAAGAAATAGAAATAAACTCACGCTTTCAGCCTATTCATAGACCAAAAACATGTACTAGCTTTCTGTAACATGCGTGTTTTAGTGAAGTCCAGTAGTATATTAAAAAACCATATCTCGCCAATCTAGTAGGCAACTCATCCTTGGTAGTTAGCCTGAGCCGGGGCATTTGTCTTTGCCCTTCTCGGTTATAAATTTCCGTGATGTACTCACGGCCATTAAGACGGGTCACCCGTGAGATATAATCTATGTTGTAGGCCGACTAAGTTTTCAACTGTCCGAACAAATTGACTACGACACAGACCGATCCAGTTTGACATTCTACACCTTCGGCATGGCCACGCAAGGTCATGCACGGCCGAAATGCCCAGCTTTCTAAATTTGGTCAAAATGATTGTGCGATATCCAGGTTTATTAAAATAGCACCATTCTAATTTTCATTATTAACGTTCACACAATGTAGTAACATACGATTAACAAAAAAATATGATTTTTAAACAATGGCGTGTCCTCCTAGGGATATTTTGCTCATCTTTTTTCTTTGTATTTTTAATGTACTAAGGCTTTGTTGGATATTTCCTTAATAGATATCAATATTAGGCAATCATTTTTTTCACAGTAAAGTTAGATAAAAGTATCCTACTACATGGTCCACTTTTGAACTTTTACCTACAAACAAACTCTAATAATAATAACTCCAATCGGATGGGTTTGGCATATCCTATCTCAACAGTCATAAGTTTACTGTAAACTACAAAGAAGTCCTCTAAAACCTTAGGCATGCCGAGGTTTCTCACGGAAGTGTGTGAGGTCCACTGCTGGTAATGTTATACATTGTGGACTACTTACAATGGGCACATTTTACCGACGATGCTGCCGCGCTCGCGAGGAGCGAACCGGGCATAATCTGGAAACTCAAGAACATTCTTATTTTATTACATCTGTCGGTACTTTCAAGTTCAAATTGGAACATCCATATTCCACATCCACTATGTCAAAACGGGTGACCAAATCCAATTTTCTTGTCACTATACACTGCAGACATCTCTATCAATCCTGATGCAATGTAGCGGTATCAAAATCCTTTCAGCAAACCCTGACCCAATAGTGGAATTCAGAATTATCAAGAACCATATATTCCTCTTTAAGAATGGTTAAAAAAATGAAGGATTAGACTTAACCAAACCAAATCCTGCCAAGTAGCCTTAAACCTCTAGTATATAACCTCCCCTCCAATTAACTACAATTGTTTCCCTCTCCTATCAACGTCTCCTTTGTTTGGGACTTAACATAGACAAAAGACTTACTTTTGTACCAACGTACCAAACCGGACTAAAAAGACTACTTGACGAATGAATGAATTTCAAAATAAATGCCTCATGGACACATCACTACTACAACCAATCTTGACGTACGGAACCACTACCCAAGCTCCCTACTTCGTATCCCACCTTACTATCAACACAGATCTTCAAATTCTATTTATCCTCGAAGCTGCAAGAAGTCGACATAGATCTAAAAAAACCGTCATGACAACCACATATTCATACACCTTTCTTCCCTAATTTCTCTTATATGTCTAAAGCGCGTAGAATTTTTTTTTTAGAGCAGATGCTCTGGCTGAACTATTTTTTATAAGCTGTTCACTAGGAATATAATTTTTCCTATTCCGGTTGTGGTTTCAATAATGTCTGTTTTTTCTGATAGTTCAATGGCAGCATAATGTTTAACGGTTTCGGAGATGCTCTCTTTTGATTCTTTTGAATAACATAAGATGCATGTAGTCATACTGTCATAAGTTTCAGCGCTTCTATCTTTTTCCCGTTCCCATACCATTTTGGTATAAATTGCCCTCAGCGATTTTATTTCTATATCAGCGGACTGAAACCATTTTCTGAATTCATTATTGAGTAACCCGTTATATTGCTGGTTGTTGGCCATTTTATGGCCAATATCATTCAGGTATTTAGGGTCAAAAATTCTTCTTGCGATTTTCAACTCTTATGAAAAAAATTATATAGTCCATATTTGCTTAGTGGTCATAATCATATTGGTTGAAATGAAAATATTAATTAATTGAAATTGTATAGTTTTGTCATAGGATAACTAAGCAGTTACTTTTCTAGTCTTTTTTTTTTTTACTTTGCCTTAAGGCATTAGCCATGCAGTTTTTATTGATGGAGAGAGGACCGAGTAAATATGGCGCCGAGACCCGACGTTTCTCCCCCGGTCCCTCCACCCCCCTTTTATTGGTAAGTTACAACAAAAGTTGATCCTTTATATCTAAAGTTATATTTTCAGATTAGATGCCTTCAGAAACCAAAATAGCAGCGCATACACTTCCTTGTTCCCTGAGGCAACGAGCGTCTCAAGAGAGTAAGGTCTGTCCGGATCGGTTAGGGCATCAATACCGTTTAGCAGTTTACCTCTTGCGTTTTCAAACCTTGGACATTCCATTACTATATGGTTTAAATCTTCTGGGTAGCCGCAAGTTATACAATTGGGGGACTCCTTAAGCCCGATTCTACACATATGTGCTCCCCACAGACCATGGTTGCTTCGTATTCTAGAGATTATGGCGAAATAATGTCGAAGTGCCCTGACCCCTCGAAACCATGGTTCTTTCGGCACCAAAGGAAATCTGCTTCTATATAGTGAGCCTCCATCAACGGAATTATGGAACTCTTGCCAATCTGAAATCCACCTATGGTTCAGTACACACTGGGAGTCACTTTTGGTCTTTGCGTAGTCGCACCGCTGACCGTCAATGACCGCTTCCTTTGCAAATCGATCAACTTTCTCGTTTTCCTTTATTCCAGAGTGACCTTTAATCCAGCCTAGGGTAACATTTATGCCCCCGGTGAGTAAATTATTAGTTATCATTAAAATGCTGGCCGTTATGTGATCGCATTTAGAGTTTGCTTTTATTCTTTCTATTTTAGAGATCACACCCTTTGAGTCTGTGAAAACAGCGACTTTTTGAACCCATATATTTTCTTGGACGTACTGTAATGCCTTTAACACTGCCAAGGATTCGGCCGAAAATATGGAGCATTTTTCCGGAAGGGCCAATTTCTTGTTTACCCTGAGCATCGGGTCGTACAATGCAAAGCCGGCCCTATCGTTTATTAGGGAGTCGTCCGTAAAAATCAGGTGATGGCCTTCCAGTAGACTCCTGGAATCAGCAAGGAACATTTGATTTGCAACTTGGGGAGAGAAGCCCGAATAGTCCCGTAGGTAGATACACCGAGGCGCCCTAAATTCCGAAGGAGAGGGCAAACGGAATATTGGATCGAGTCTGCTCTTATATGCTGAGTAAATTCTGAGAACACATGTTAGTAACGCTGTGACAATCGGTGGAGGTTTTTTATGAAGCCAGAACTTACTTGGACCTGAGCTGTGAGAAAGACAACTTTTGAGAAACTAGGACTGTCCGTTTGATAAAGCCTAATAATTTTGTTAACGGCCAACTTTATAATTCTAGAATTTAAGGGGGGTTCCGCGGCCCGGTTCTAGTCTTGTAAAATAAAATTCCGTAAAAGCAACGAAGTTGCCTGTAGCACTGTTGTAGCATGAAAAAACATGGTTTCTAATAATCCTGAATCATTAAAATTCATAAACCTTCGTCTGAAAATATTTCACCCTGGTAGAATGGCTTCATCACTATGGGAAAAATTCTAACTTTTTTGACGTTAGGAGCCCTGCACCCTTTTTATTTATTACTCCCGTCACGCAACGCTGTTTTGTTTGGAAAGGGCCCCAGAGCTGCCCTAATTTCTCTCACTATTTCCCTTTATCCCCAGTATATTCGCTCCCGCTACATATGTTTTTTCAAAAGGGTTGTTTATCTTCTAAACTATATTATTTCCCATCTTCTGTTTTAACAACCGTATATGTTTTTTTTAAAGGAAAGTGAAATGAATCGTGTTATTGTATCGAAATGGCCGGATAAGAAGTAAAGAATTCAACAGAAATTCATAATTAACCGATTGTTGTTAACACGGCCATTATTTATTATGATTTACTGCCATACCGTTCAGCATATTCAACTTGCAAATACCGTCTTTATTCGGATTGTATAACGAAAAAATTGCGTAACCAGTACAACGGATAATCGTCTTCTTACGTACGGTTACCTGTAAATTATAGTTTCTTTTAACTTCTGGCCTGGGAGTTAATGGCCATACGTCACAATAGACCCCTATTTACCGACTTGGTAAACTATAGGAGGTAATATGATAAATCAAAACTTAACCCCACGGCTCTTTATTAAAGGATTCGCCAAATCGGTAACAAGATCATTTATAATTGATTTTTTCTCCCTTCGAAAGCTCAGCAGTAAATCATTGACCTCAATGACCCGAAATTAACCTTATCGAGAGGGTAGGAGAAAATCTTGTTCCTATTAATAAATTACAATTATTGCTCCTTTCGTTATGGTAGCAGGAGGCTATCTATCAAGGACCTTGGGCCTATAAATTGCATTTGTTCCTTTAAAGTGATAAGCCAGTTTAAATTAAAAACCATGGAGTGCTATTCACTTGGAAACAAATGGGAACTCTGTAAGGCAGAAGAGGTAGAAAAATATGGATTTATTAAAAATAAACATTTTCTCTTTCATGCAGTAAAATTCGATCATGAGAGCAGGTCCACAAACTCCATCCTTTAGCTTTCAATATGACAAAATCAGATAACCCCATTTGGCTATTTGAAGAAATTTGTTTTATTTAACATGTTCTGTGTTTGTTCACAAAAATGTCAGCGACCACACTGTTGAAAATTGTTCTATCGAAATGACTTCAAGTTAGTTTTCTTTAACATTGCGCTTAAAAACGTGAATATTCTTGCGATTTAAACTGGTCTTCAGTATTCATGAATTCTCGACAAACAAACTCGAAGCCACCCCACGTGCCGGGCAAACAACGAAGGTCGACAAAAAAAAGAAAGACACACGTCGATTGTTTCTGGCATGATTTTGCATTTAAGAAAGAATAATTTAAAAGCGAAAACGCCCACTGATTATAAGGCAAAAGGTGAAAGGTGATGATTGTATCTGTTGGATCAAATCTTTAAGCTATATTAATAAAAATATCGTCCTACCTCTGACTTATTGAAGTGATGAACTTGTTGATTGTCCTGATCTGCATAACCTCCTGCCTATGTCAGACAGACGCCGAACGATTGCTAACTTCGGGGTGTAATTTATATGATTCTAAAGTTTTTTAACTAGCCAATATCAATTTCGTCGTCTAGAAGCTTATAAAAGAACCTAGTTGACTAAATAACGCATACCCCTATTAAGCCGGGAAAACACTTACCCGATGCAACGTCATGCGACGCTACCCGAGCTACCCTTTTGGTAGGGTGTGCACATCTAAGCGACGTCAAGCGCACGCCACTTACAGCGTATGTCACAAATCAGTATCACAATCGCAACGCCTCTTTTTCTTAATGCATTATTTTGAGAAAAAACTTGCAATAAATTCTTAGTTAAATTTTATAAGCACAGCCATGTAATAAATTGTTTGTTAAACTTAATTGTTTTAAATAAAGTTATTTCGGTGTTTTGATAAATTTTCTTCCTAACCATCATAATTAAATATTTTTTATAAAAACTTATGAATTTTTGATCTCGTTTAATTTGGTTTACATTAAAATAGGAATGTTGTAATTAATATAACGACAAAATTACATACACACGGTTCGAAATAAACTACAAAAAATATGAGTGTCCGGTTCTGACGCTACTCGACGAAAATGGTGTAAATGTATGAGCAAAACCATGAAATAAATTGTTAGTTAAATTCATTATATCAAAAAATGGTATTCCGGGGTTTTGATCAAACCTGGTTGGTTTCTACCGAACCATTAAAATTAATTAAATTTTTTTAAAAATCTCGGTTAATTTGGTTTACATTAAAATAAGTTTGTTGTAATTAATATACAATGTTAATATACAAATTAATATACAAAATTACATGTACTTAGTTTGAAATAAACTACAAAAAATATGATCCTGAGTCCTGTTCTGACGCTACTCGACAAAAATAGTGTGTATGAGCGAAACCATGAAATAAATTGTTAGTTAAATTCATTACATCAAAAAATGGTATTCCGGGGTTTTGATCAAGTTTCTACTGAACAATAAGTTTGTTGTAATTAATATANCTGTTCTGATGCTACTCGACAAAAATAGTGTGTATGAGCAAAACTATGAAATAAATTGTTAGTTAAATTTTATGAGCAAAACCGTGTAATAAATTGATAGTTAAATTCATTATATCAAAAAATGGTGTTCCGGTGTTTTGATCAAATTTCTACCAAACCAATTTTATTTAAAAAAATGAATTTTCGATCTCGGTTAATTTGGTTTATATTAAAATAAGTTTGTTGTAATTCATATAACGACAATAATACGTGTTTGAATAAAAATGTGAGTGTCTGGTTCTTTTGTCTTCGACTGTACTCGATGCGACACGACGAAAATCTGGACAGTGGGGATCGCAGAGCGTAGAGTAGGGTAGCGTTGCGTAGCATCGGGCAGATGTGCACGGGGGTAATACAATCCTATGGAAAAATGGACTTCGGATTTGCGTTGGGTTGCATCGGGTGTGCTTCCGGCTTTAATGATATAGCAAATGCCGACCAAAAATTTTATGTAAACTGTTAACATAAGTTTGGACGATTATTGGAAATCGGCCTGTTTATAACACCATGGCTAATATTAGTCTATGTGCTTGTTCATTGTCTTGAACTCCCCGTTAAGCTTTTAATTTTTTACCAGATCCCAACACCTCTTGTTTGGGTACCAATAACAGCTTGACAACTATCGATCCAAACCTTTTATGATATACTAAATTACCAAAAACGTAAATCTATCAGACAACGGGTTTAAAATAAGGACCTCTGTTTAATTGGATTGTACCATATGACAGAGGCATACAAAATTCATTAAAGGGCCATCGCTGAAACACCAGAGAACTACTAAAATATGTCAGGACAAGTCAGCTGACTGGAAAATGCAGACTCCGGAGGTATAAGTAAACTCGGAGCAGTCTTGTCCAGATATTGCCAGGAAGGAAAAGCATTTTTATTTTTGCCCTGAAGATTTATTCTTAACCCAAACCTGGCACGATAGAAAAAATTCGTTTGGATTTAAAAACTTGTCGGTACGTTTCCTCGTTAAGAGAGCATTATTTACAAAAACATTTTCAATGTTATTTTATAAATTATCATTCGTCGGATTGTATATCATTTCTTTATCTTTTGGCACCCTTTCTTTCCGCTATGTCGGTCTCGCGGTCGTGCGTGACTCGCGTTAATTTCTATTTATTTATTATATCATTCCAGAGGCTGAATAAATATTTCAACACGGTCAGTTCTGGAAGCCGGACGATAAATTCATGCTGACAACTTAAATTGGCGTACAAATTTCTGCCAGAAGTAGTATGTACCAGTAGGAATTGATTATTATAAAACCGTCTACTTCACCAATCTCTATTGTTTTCTTTAGTTATAATCTGTTAAAACTTTATGATGTAACTAACCAAGCATTTTATATATGTATTTAAAGTAGTCGAATATATGTTTCTTGGTCTATTCTGAAGTAATAGGGGAAGTTTTTTGATAAAACCTCCAATTCTATTGGATTTTAATGGGAATAGTGATTATTTTTCTTTAAAGTGAATATACAGTCTCGAACCCTCGACCTTCGGCTGAAAACGCCGCTGTTCTTACCGACGTGGGTTCGAATCTCTCTCGTGGCACTAGCTTTTTCATCTCAACTAAAACCTTAGATAAAAAGTCTAATCAATTTAAATAATTAATACGGTCAATTATGACTACTGAATGACTATATGGATTAATAAAATAATTACAGAAGTCTTATTTCACTAACAGCTCTTCATGGCCATTTCATAAGTCGCCGATAATCGAATTCTGATTACACGATATTTGAAAATATGGCAAAATGAGGAAAAAATTCGAAAGGTTATAGGTTGAGATCAGGAGTTGGTTTCAGAGTGGATCGAAGTGGATCGAAGTGGTAGAGCAACGGCTCATTTAGCTGAAGTTCTTGGGTTCGAATCCCGCTCGTGACACTAGCTTTTTCATCTCAACGAAGATTTTCGATGAAACGTATAATTAGTTGCAAATTCTATATACGATTGACAAGTTGATAGTACCACCTGCTAAGAAACAAAGTTTATTCTCTTAAAAAATTAATTAAACTTTTTGGACTTCTATTGCAGAAACTTGGATGTCTTTGTGCCCACCTGCAACACACTTGCGTAGAACATACAAAAGGAAGGATGCTTTTTAGACTTCGATACTCAAATTAAACTGTCATCCAAGTCGTCAAATAATTTTAGTTTGTTTTTCGATTCCATTAAAAGATTTTGTAATTCTGAAAATACAAGTCTCGCGTTTCTCCTTAATTAGTTTCTAGCTCTATTTCGAGTATATCTAAATCATGCTGATCTATCATTTCTTTTAGGATTTGTAAAATTTCACCAGAATACAGACACGGTTTTTCAATTATTGTTTTTAAATTCGCAGCTTAGATAATATATTAAATTTAAATGTAAATCAATTTAAAACTTACAATTAATGTCAAAACGATTATTCGTACATTTTTATACAATTGAATATATGCGCAGAATTTAAGCATTTTGTTTATTAATGCCCATTTTACGTCGAAGAGTGTAATTTTACATAAATTGCTAGGCCAGTAATTGAAAGGCGCTGTTTGAATGAATATTTGAAGGATTTTATATGTGCCTTTTCTAAGAAGCAATTTCGGAAAAACTTATAAAGGCGTAATATACATCAAGATCGGCAAATTTACGAAATGGCGTTCAAAAAGTACAAATGGGGTGATCGAGACGTTGAAGTCGAAGATTACATCAATAGAAAATACAAGAAGGTTCTGTGGATTGGCGCTCTTTATCCGAGAGTGGACGGGTTTTACTTTTATTTAACCATTTTCCATGCAATCTTTTTGACAGTTGGTGAATGGTTTTTGATATCTAGCATGGCAATTTCGATCTTTTATTGCACGGACAACATGGTTTTCGCAATGAGGTTCGTTAGATTGGGGTCTTTGTGCATCGCCATTAACTTGTGCATGTGGGGCATGTTGATGGAACGAGGCAGAGTGACGGAAGTGATGAGATTGCTCATTGACAAATATTACAATTATGAAGAAGACACTGTTCCAAAAGGATTAGAGGCTATTAAAAAAGAAAGAAGAAGCCGGATGAAGTACACGCTGATGGTCCCTGTTTACGGTTTGTACACAGGCATTCACATTTTCGTCCTTCCTCTGTTTTCCTTTCAAGATTTAAAACTGCCCGAGGATATTTTCGATACGAAATCTATATTTCCAACGTGGAGTCTGGACCCGAACAGCATTTGGGCCCGCTTGATGTTTCTACTGTTCTTCGTCTCATTCATAGCTCATCTCCTTTTCGAAGCGACCGGAGGGTTCTTTCTATTAGTCCAACTTTTTGAATCACTCATCGGACAGTTACAAGTTCTTATTCTATCTCTAGGAAGACTAGAAGAAAGGGCTGAAGCGCATTTTAACAAAACGAGAAAGAAAGATAACACTTGGTCGAGGGAGGATTCTTTCAGCCATTGTCTTAAACAAAATATTCAACATCATCTGTTGTTATACGAGTACAGAATTTATTTAATATTTTTATTTGTAAGGAACAGTAATAAAATTAGTATTGAATTTCAGGTTCAGGGAATCATTGGAGAAGCTTATTTCAAATACATTGATATCACTCTTATTCAATGCAACAGCAATTTTGGCTGCTAACGCCTTTCTTTTAGCGGTAATTAATTGTTTAGTTTTTAACATGAAATACTTGGTCCACAGGAAAAAAACTTATAAACATAACACAAACACTATTTCAATTTAAAAATTTCTATAGCCCTATAACCCAAAATATTGTCTATATTTCTAAAAATTGACAATACATTCTATGTTTCAAGTCTTATATAATTGATACTCGATAGTCATTTTATACTAGCCTAACGGGCATCTAACTGGTATATTTTAGGCCAGAAGGTGCCATGTGTTGACCAGTGCTCGTGTTTCTTTACCTGCCAGATCTCTTTTTCTTAACATTTACCCTATGCAACGCCATGCGACGCTACTCGATGCTACCGGGCGCTTTGCCACGTTTTCGTAGGGTGTGCACATCTATGCGAAGTCGAGCGCACGTCACGTACAGTCACACAGCGTGTATCACAAATCAGTATCACAATCGCATCTACTCTTTTGTTCTTAATGCACAATTTTGAGCAAAACCTTGTAATAAATTGATAGTTAAATCTTATGAGCACAACCATGTAATAAACTTAATTGTTTTAAATATATTCCGGTGTTTTGATCAATTTTCTGCCTAACCACCATAATTAAATAATTTTTATAAAAACTCATGAATTGTTGATCTCGTTTAATTTCGGTTATATTAAAATAAGAATGTTGTAGTTAATATAACGACAAAATTACATATACATAGTTTGAAATAAACTACAAAAAATAAGAGCTTCCTGTTCTGACGCTACTCGACGAAAATGGTGTAATTGTACGAGCAAAACCATGAAATAAATTGTTAGTTAAATTTAATTTTAAATAAGGATATTCCGGTGTTTTGAAAAAAATTTCCGCCAAAACATCATAATTAAATAATTTTTATAAAAAGTAATAAATTTTTGATCTCGGTTAATTTGGTTTATATTAAAATAAGTTCGATGTAATTAATATACAAAGTTAATATACAAAATTACATGTACGTAGTTTGAAATAAACTACAACAAATGTAAGTGTCCTGTTCTGACGCTACTCGACAAAAATAGTGTGTATGAGCAAAACCATGAAATAAATTGTTAGTTACATTTTATGAGAAAAACCGTCTAATAAGGTATTAGTTAAATTCATTATATCAAAAAATGGTATTCCGATGTTTTGATCAATTTTCTACCAAACCAATTTCATTTAAAAAAATGAATTTTCGATCTCGGTTAATTTGGTTTATATTGAAATAAGTTTGTTGTAATTAATACACAAAGTTAATATACAAATTAATACACAAAATTACATACTTAGTTTGAAATAAACAACAAAAAATGTAAGTGTCCTGTTCTGACGCTACTCGACAAAAATAGTGTGTATGAGCAAAACCATGAAATAAATTGTTGGTTAAATTTTATGAGGAAAACCGTCTAATAAATTATTAGTTAAATTCATTATTTCAAAAAATGGTATTCCGATGTTTTGATCAATTTTCTACAAAAATATTAAAATTAATTTAAAAAAATCAAAACATGAATTTTTTATCTCGGTTAATTTGGTTTATATTAATATAACGACAATGTAGTTTGAATAAAAATATGATTGTCTGGTTCTTTTGTCTTCGCCTGTACTCGATGCGACCAGACGAAAATGGACAGTGGGGATCGCAGAGTGTAGAGTAGGGTAGCATAGCATAGCATCGGGCATATGTGCACGGGGTAATACAACCTCGTGGAAAATTGGACTTTGGATTTGCGTCGGGTGTGTTCCCGGCTAAACCCTTTGATTTTACTCTATTATTTATGTGTGGTGTTTAGTGACCGTTACTGAATGATTATTTGGAGGTCGTGAGATGTGGTCTGTTGTGACGTAGGATTTAGAAAAACATTTTCTTTATCGTGCCAACGTTTCGATCTTTATTGAGAACTTCATGGCTCAAAGTGTGTTTTCGGTGTAGATGTGTCATTCTTGTGTGTCGTACTGAGAGAGCGTACAAAAACATTTTCATGGAAAAAACACTTTGAGCGCTGAAGATGATCTCAATAAAGTTCGAAATATTGGCACGATAAAGAAAATGTTTTTTTAAAACCTACGCTACACCAGACCGTATCTCCCGACCACCAAATAATTTTTTAGTTATATTTTGGTTTTTTAGAATCAAGAGGACCATCTCACGAGAATATTGTCGGTAGTTGGGCTTATTACTGAAGGGTACTTCATATTTGCCTACAACCGGTACGGTCAACTCATCATCGACGAGGCAATATTGACACTACTGACCGCAATACAATGACGTATAAAAAAAATCAAGTTAAATTTTATTTCAGAGCGAAAGATTACAATTCGCCGTTTACAATTTGAATTGGTTCAACTTAAACCCAACGCAGAAGAAGATGGTAAGCATAATGCAAGTTATGACACAAAGAAAACCGATGCGGTTGGCCCTGGCTGGAGGTCTGATGGGCTTGGAACTCGTGAACTTTCTTCAGGTCAGTATTGAACCGATTCGTCTGAAAAAACGATAAATAATTTATATTTTTACAGATTGTGAAGACAACGTATTCTTTTATGAACTTTTTAATAGCTGTTTATTAATTACGTAGGGCAAGAATGCGGGAAAAATTTAGTTGATAAAAACATTCTCTCAATAAAACAAAATTAATCAAACAAAATATGTTATTCTATCCATCTCCTTCATCTATTTTTTCAATAAATATTTTATTTCTAACAAAAACATTGTGACAAATCATCCAATTTATCTTCTGAAGATGACAGGTGATAGTAAATATTATTCTGCTTTTAAAGTAAATGGAATCATTCAAGAAATAATGGATTATGGTTGTTACTACATTGCTTTTTGACCATCATGGTTCGATTTTTTTTTCCAGTTTCCACATATCACTAAAAAAGTTAGGTAACAGGCAGACGATTTAATAGTTGAGTGTTTATACAACCATTCATCAAAGTTTTTAAGGAAGAATTTAAAATTAATGTTAAAACTATGGGCTTTTGAATTAAGCGTTTTAACCAGGAGAAATTATCAATTGCTGTAATTTTGACATGTTCGAATTCCGTCAAGGAGGGTGTCCTGTAATTGAAATATGCTTTATAGTTATACTATGCTATAGTTATAGTTATAATATGCTAGTTGTATACCCTATATAGATATTAAAGGTGAGTTGATATATCGTAATTAGGTAGGGTGTAATTAGGTCCAAAATTCCAGAGATAAGAAAATTTTCTAATAACAAAACGTTTCAAAATAGGGCTGGTCATTATGACTACGTCGTACATAAAATATAGCAAATGACCACAAGGAGAACCGTAATCAAATCCCGTATATGCCCAGTGTTGCAAAAACGCAACGTACAATTTTTTAAAATATAATTTTCTTTTTCTTTCCATTAAATGTTATTTCGGGTTCTATTTTTAGCTTTACCCTTAGGGCGGGATGTACTCAAACGAAATATGACTCATTTGCTTTTCGGTTTTATTGGCAACCCTCATTTGTGTTGTGTATTCCAAATTGAACGTTCTTGAAGGAGAAATGTCTCAAGAAAAGTAAGTTTTTCTATTACAATATTACTTTTTTTTTACATGCAACGTTATTTTGGTTTTTCTTTATACTGTTAAAAATAACTGTGTGCAAAATTTAAAAAAAGTCTAATTACGGATATTTGGCGTCTAATGTCAGTGTTGCGTTTGCGCAACACCGGTCACTTATACTAAATTGTATTTTCTCTTCCTTTGAGATTTATTTATTTTTCTGTTTCCCATTTTTCACTACCCTTTTCTTATATTATTATATAATTTTTATCTTATCTTTTCACAGTTTATTATATTATCTTATCTAATCTCAGTATCTTATATACTAGTACTACTTATATACATTATTATTTCCTTTCTTTTTTATTAGAAAGTGTTATATTGCCCACGAGCCACTGTGTATTTTACGTGCCCATAAAAGATATAGCTATTATGAAAATAGAACCTAGAGATTCATATCAGTCTTGTATAAAAAAAAACTCATCAATTCTACTGTGCCGGTGGAACGATAACTCGGTGGTAACAGTAATTTCGAATTGTCAAACAGGCACTCCGCAACGCCAGGCTCATAGATATTCCGCAGCTCATCAAAAAAAAATCCAGGTCCAACAAAGCAAATAATATAGTCTTACAACCAAAACATGGGGGGGGGTACTTACAGGATGGTTCAAAACGTTGCCACTTCCCGTACATCCATCAGGTCTAAAAAATGGTGGTGGCCCATATTTCTCTGGACCGTGGATGTGGCTCTACGGAATGCCTGGTTGTTATACAGAGCTTCTCCAGGAAAGACAGATTTTTTTTGTAGTTCAAGAGAAGTGTCGCGAATGAACTGCTTGAAAGATTCGGAAATGCACCTAAACGAACATGGTATTCGACATCGACTGTTATGAGCAGGATTTCATCGAGGACCCGATTCGACAAAATTGGGCATTTCCTAGGGACGAAAGAAGAACCCAATGTGGAGTATGTAAATCTACAACCATAAAACAATGTGTAAAATGCGGAATCGTATTGCACGAAAAATGTTTTCTTGAATTTCACCAAAACTTGACAATTGAAAAAAATGTGTAGTTACAAAAAAGACTGTTGTAAAAATATATATATATAATTATAAGGTTATTTTGATTCATGATGATTTTAATTTACCTATACTTCGAATATAATCCTAATTTCATACATATGTACAGGATAAAGTTAATAAGAAGAAATCAATTGACCGGTGTTGCGTTTTCCCAACACCCTAATTTGCATACTAAATGCCTAGCTATATTTTTTTTAAACATTTTTTATTGTTAAAAGGGGGAAAAAGAAAAGCTACCTAAAAGATAATTTCGAAATTCTTCAAAAAAAAAAAAAAAAATAGTGGGCATATACGCGCTAAAACCGAAAATGGCCCATTGGCTATACACGATATAAGACCCAAAATAAACTTTGGATCATTAATCTTGTCGAACTAAGCTCAACAAAAAGTTGTTATCCAAACACTAGGCAGAATATAAAGATCAGCAAACCTAAGCATCATAGGGGTAGTGAGAGCAACCAATACAAGTGCACTAGAAACTCTGCTAAACCGACCTCCACTGGAAACAGTCATAAAAGCAGAATCTAGGCAAACTCTTTTAGGCTCCAAAAACTACAAAAACAATAAAATCGGAAGGCAACTAAACAATTCGGCCATAAACCATAATAAAAAAAATCAGATACCCTTTCATAGAAATGGGGACTGACTACATAATCCCGGAAACATTCTTTACAACTCATAAAGCCCTGTAAAGCACTGAAGAAGATCCAATACAATTCCGAACACTAGGCAAAGATTTAAAATTAAAAATATTTTATTTGACCACGTTCCTGATAACAACGTGAAGATTTCCTGATAACGTTATAAGTCTCTAGAAAGGAGAGGAAGAACGGCATCAGATACAATGATATGGTAGACAGATGGGTCCAAAACAAACGGAGGCACCGGATCGGGTGTTTTCTGTACAAGCTCAAAATAAGAGCATTTAGACTGATTAGAGAAGTACATTTCGGTCTTTCAAACAAAAATACATGCCATTAATGCATGTGCCCTAGAAAATCTTAAAAGAGGAACTGGCAAAAAATGCTCATAAGATCGGAGAGCCAAGCAGATATTAAAGCATTAGCATGTAAAAAATCAAATCAAAATTATTCAGTGATTCCCTACTTTCGTGGTCCGCTTGACCAATTAATACATGACAATTAATTAAGGCTTTTAGTTGAGATGAAAAACGTTAATGGCACGAGCGGGATTCGAACCCACGATCTTCGGCTTGATACGCCGCTGCTCTACCACTTGTGCTATCGTGACCTCGATCCACTCGGACACCAACTTCCTATCTCAACCCGACCTTTTGAGTTTTCCCTCCTTTTTGCCATTTTTCAAATGTCGTGTAATCGGTTTTGATTCTCGACGACAATTGAAATGGCGACGGAGAGCTTTAATGAAGTGTACTTTATTTTTTTAAATCATTAATTCACTACTTTCGTGGTCCGCTTGACCAATTAATACATGACAATTAATTAAGGCTTTTAGTTGAGATGAAAAAAAGTTAATGGCACAAGGGGGATCTAGCCGAAGATCGTGGGTTCGAATCCCGTAACCAAGATTGGCAAAAGCACTGCTGCAATTGGAGAGGGCCAAACTCAGAGGGGTGGTTGGACTACTAACCGGTCACTGGCGTCTGAGAAAACATCTAGACAACATGGGCATATACAATGATGATCCCATCGGCAGATTATGTAATGAGAAAGAGGAAACAGCCACCCATATCATCTTCGCAATAACCTAGGGAATGAAATTTTAGTAGTAGCAACCAAAAACTAATAATTCTGAGAATAAAGATTGAGCGGATTACACTGCACAAGGAAGTACAATAAGGGGGAAGACTGCAGTGCTTGGGGAGTATAAGCCCCGTTCTACCCTTCTGAACGGCTCCGATTGCCGGGGTCTTGTTAATTTTGCTCGGAAAGCCTGGTTTTACAGATATGAATATATTGGAATGTAGGGAATTAATATTCTGTTCGTCTTATTTTGTTACCTTTTTTGCTCTCGCAGGTAATACATATAATTTGTACTTTGTATGGTTCTAAATGCGAATTCTGTTTGCCGGTGGGGGACCCTTTGCGAGTTGGAATCCTTGTTTTGGTCCTTTGAAGTGTCATTTTTATTATTTTTCATGTTTATCGCATTTCAATCTTGTAATTTGAAAATCCTGTAAATAATTGTAACCACTGAAGTTGATATTGTAAATTCTCCTTTTCTTATAATTACATAATTATGTATATTCTTGAAATAGTAATGCACTCCGAACTCTGGCTGACGGTGTTAATACCATGCCATAATAATACTGTGTTTTTTAATTTTAACTCTAAATTTCTTTCATTTTGTAAATAAAGTATATCTATTTATCTATCTAAAATCGTACTAATCTTTTCGAAAACTATCTATTATATTTAAAAAAATTAATAATTAGAAACTTTATTCTTGTTCTCAAAAATTTTATCCTGTGGCTGAAGTTTGGAAATAAAACATCGAGTTTGATTTTACACTGTCGACCGAACATTTTTTTATATATTTTATTTATAGACTTATTGTATTTATGATATTCTGTATGTTATACTGGAATATTGCATTTTTAATGTTAAGAATTACATTTTTAAATCTAGTACTTTTTCTTAGAAAATCTGGTTTTATTAATTTATTATTTGAAGCGTATATTTAATTATTTTCTACTTTGAAGTTTCACACGTTCTAAATTACATTTCGTTGTTGTTGTGTACAATCGTTTGCAATAAAAGTTTAATTAATAGAAAATAACAATTTTCGCATCGTTAATATTAAAACCAGGATGAGGCAAAATTTTGCCCCCGCCCCCAATAAATAAAAACGCCAATCATATCCAAAATAAAGACGTCTTTTCCCGTCCTTGCTTCCTTTTCATTGATAATCTCGTACTAAATACATTTCAAAACTTTTATATCAAAATGTTTACCGAGTGGAAAATTGGATAAGCTAACTTATCAAAAAATGTATTGTACCGTTCAAATTCGTAGATAAAATGTCAATATTTCCCCAAAAAACCGAAAATTTTTGGTTTATTTAATTTATATTTATAGTTTAATTGGATTTGTCGTTTATATGTTTATAGGTTTAATTTACAGAAAATGCATGAATTATTAATCCAGTATTTTTAAGTAGTTCCACAGTATAGAAAATTAAAGAAACAAAATTCAAGAATTAATTACAAGTTTTGGGCACACTGCTATTTAATTTATGAGGTTTTTGTTGTAAATAACAGTGTTATTTGCAGCAGAGACCAAAACCGGTGATTTTTGATATCATTATTAAAGGAATAATATAACTAAATGGGTTCAAATTGGCTTCAGAAGTTCTAGTGAGATAGTAAATAAATACCCACGCGCAGTGAAGCCTAAGAATTTTGAAGTTGATATGAATAGTTAATCCAAATTAGTTTCAGAAGTTTTAGAAAAGTAGTAAATAATTTCGACATTGTCGTATTTCTCTGCTAGTCAACGACGAAATGCCGTTCAAAAACTATAAATGGAATGATCGAGACGCAGAAGTCCAAAATTACGTCAACAGATTTTATAAGAAGATTTTGTGGTTCGCTGGCATCTATCCGAGAGTGGACGGACTTTACTTGTACTTGACCGTTTTCCAAGTAGTCTACATTACCATTATAGAATGGTTTCTGCTATTCGTCATGGCCGTTTCAATAGTTTATTCCACGGGCAACATAATTTTCGCTATGAAGTTCATAAGGTTGGGCTCTTTGTGCATAGCCATGAACTTGTACATGATCACCGCCGGAGCGAGAAGAGGCAGGCTGACAGAAATGGTAAGACTACAACTAGACAACTTTTTCGACTATGAGGAAGATATTCCGGACGATGTAGAAACCATAAAAGAAGGAGGAAGAAAACGTATGAAATTGTTATTGTTAATCCCGATTTACGGCGTTATCAACAGTCTGATTAAATATTTAATTGTTCCGATATTCCTATCGAAAAATAACGCAGTGAAGAAAAACGATGCTTTAGATAACGGAGCCGTTATGCCGACTTGGAGCCCAGACCCGAACAGTGTACTTGTCCGAGTGGCAATGCTTATATTTATCGTTTCTTTCATAGCCCATCTTCTTTTCGTGATGGTTGGAGGTTTTTTCTTGGTGGTCCAATTATTTGAATCCTTAATACAACAACTACAATTTCTTAATCTCTCTATAAGTAGATTAAATGAAAGGGTTGAAACGCATTTTAAGAAAATCAGAAAAAACAATGAGAACTGGACAATAGAGGATTCTTTCGATCATTGTATCAAACAGAACATAAAACACCACTTGATATTACACAGGTATATGTTTTATTTATGTAGTATTAATGAACGCAATTAAATAAAGAGTTGCAGGTACAGATCATCCTTGGAAAACTACATATCGCTCCCTTTGCTAGCACTTTTTACAACGTCGGTAACAATTGTGGCAGCTAATATCTTTCTTATAGTGGTAAATTATATCTTTCTACATCATATTATTTATTTTCAATATCATTTTTAAGGAAATTATATCGGAATTGAAAAAAAAAAGTGAAATCATATCATCTATATAACAATGATTATTCGGAAATCGTGAGATGCGGTCTGGTGTGATGTAAGTTTCAGAAAAAATTTTCTTTATCATGCCAACATTTCGATATTTACTGAGATCATCTTCAGAGCCTGGGATTAACGAACATTGATTAAAAAAAAAAACTTGTAGGATGTGGAAAAAAAGTGAATTTATACAATGCAAAAAATATTTTTTTTAAATAATTCAATCAAAGTATTTCTACTCACTCAAAGTGTTTGTTTTCTGCGTATTCAAATACTTTGATTGAATATAAAAAATATTTTTTGCGTTGTAAAAATTCAGTTTTTTCCATATCCGTTACATTTGTTAAATGTAAACAATGTTTGTAAATCCCAGGCTCTGAAGATGATGTCAATAAAGATGGAAACGTTGGCATGATAAAAAAAATGTTTTTCTGAAACCTACGTTACACCAGACTGCATCTCACGATTTTCGAATAATCATCGATTAACGGTCACTAATCACCACCCATATCTATATAACTATGATTATTCGGAAATCGTGGGATGCGGTCTGGTGTGATGTAGGTTTCAGAAAAATTTTTCTTTATCGTGCCAACGTTTCGATCTTTATTGAGATCATCTTCAGAGCCTGGGATTTACGAACATAGTTTAAATGTAACAAAACCATGTAGTTTGTGGAAAAAAGTGAATTTATACAATGCAAAAATTATTTTTTTTTTAAATTATTCAATCAAAGTATTTCTACTCACTCAACGTGTTTGTTTTCTGCGTATTCAAATACTTTGATTGAATATAAAAAATATTTTTTGCATTGTAAAAATTCAGTTTTTTCCACATCCTACATGTATTTGTTAAATGTAAACAATATTGTAAATCCCAGGCCCTGAAGATGATCTCAATAAAGATCGAAACGTTGGCATGATGAAGAAAATGTTTTTCTGAAACCTACGTTACACCAGACCGCATCTCACGATTTCCGAATAATCATCGATTAACGGTCACTAATCACCACACAAATCTATATATCGTTACAAATAGGCAGACTTAGCAAATTTTTTCACGTTGTTTGTTTTTAGACACAAGACGATAAACTAATATTATTTCTGTCGTTATCCACTTTCGTCTCCGATGCTTACTTTTTGATCTCTTACAACTTGTACGGACAAATCGTCGTTGACGAGGTGATAGCATGACTTATTTAATTGTTACATTATTAGATTAAACAGAATTTGAGGTTTTATATGGCAGAGTGAGAAAATACAATTTACAATTTATAATCTCAACTGGTTCAACTACACCAAAGGACAGAAAAAGATGATAAGCATAATGCAAGTAATGACCAGAAAACCTATGCACGTTTCTCTCGGAGGACTGATGAACATGGATCTGGTGAACTTTCTATCTGTACGTATTTAAAAAGAAAATTGTCCAAATTTATCAATAACACGATTATTTTTTACAGATTACCAAGGGAATCTATTCATTCATAAACTTTCTAATAACTATGAATTAACATAATCAGACTAAAAGAAGGAACAACATACACAATATTAATCACAGGATTTTTATCAGCACTGTAAAAGCACTTTTAATAAATACTGTTCTGCATTAATTTTATGTTTTTATACCAATCTTTATTTTGGTAAATCTTCGACGAGGTAATTGGATTTAATTGCAGGGCTCAATGTAAACGGAACTTGACTTTTTTACATTCCTCTGAGCATGAAAATGCAATTTACTTGTTACAGTCTCAACTGGTTTAACTAAACATAAAGATAGTAAACGATCCCAAGCATAATAAGGTAAGAACCAAAAACCCAAAGGGTTGTTATGGACCTTGTGCATTTTCTATCCGTATTAAAGAAGAAAATTTTTTTTATATATTGTTAATGTGATTTTTATTTCTTTACCCATAACGATGGCTACCCATTTGTTTATTACCTATCGCATAACTGTAAATGAAAACGACCAGAGTCGTAAAAGAAACAACATTCTTCTCGTACGTGTTTACCCATTAGAATTGTAATTAGAATCATAAAAATTTCTAAAATAAACTCTTGTCTACATTTTCTTTTTTTATTACAAACTTATCACCAAGAGTTATTATATTGCCATTAAAGTTTGTTTTAATATAATTTATTTATTCCATCGTCGTTTAAGGCGAAGTGGTGTGTTCTCCCCCTTGGGGAGAAAGGTATAGGATGGTTTAAAAGTATGGTGTAAAAGCAAGATCGAATCGATTGCTTGACCAAAGGATTTGTATGGTGGTTTTGGATAGTGAAATTAGAGTCGTAGTAAGTAGCTTTGACAGTTTGCCTGGAAGCTTTTTATTCGATGGATTGGATGCGCTTCATATTGGATAGCTTGGTGAAATCCCACAGTTCCACATTGCACGTCCAAGCTGATCGTGGTAATGTCTTGTTTAGTCCATTAGATTCCGATTGACTAAATAACTTTTTTCAATTAATTAATCTTTATGTACACACTAACATTCTTATTTTAAATGAGATATTTTTATTGTACAATTCGATTTTAGAGCTTGTTATGCCTTTTTTTTTTTTTTTTTTTTTTTTTTTTTTTTTTTTTTGTAACGTTGGCTCTCTCCGTTTATTTCGAAAACGATTAACTACGATATACAGGGTGTATCAACTTCTATACTCCACCCATTTAATTCGGAAACAATTAACTTTAGAAAAAAATGGTGTTATACAAACCCAAGTTAATTTTGGCTATAGCCACGTGGTGGTAACAGATTTAACATAACTTTCTCATCTAGCTGGAATGACACTAACATTCTTATTTTAAATGAGATCTTTTTATTGTACAATTCGATTCTAGAACTTACGTTATGCCATTTTTACTGAAATTTTTTTTGGCAGTATTGATCGTTTCTGAGTTGTGCTCGACGGAAGACGCGTGGGGGTATGATTTTTTGTAACGTTGGCTCTCTCCGTTTATTTCGAAAACGATTAACTTTAGCAAAAAATGGTCTTATACAAATCCCAAGTTAATTTTAGCTAGAAATCACATGGTGGTAACAGATTTAACATTACTTTCTCATTTAGCTAAGATATGTCACGTTGTTATTTTACATGAGAATGCCATATTTCTATTTACATTTCAATTCGAGGACTTATTTTATGCCACATTTACTGAAATGAAAATTTTGATAGGATCGATCATTTCTGAGTTTTGTTCGACGGAAGACGCGTGAGGGTTATGCTTTTTGTAACAAGATGGCTCTCCCCGTTTTAGATTTAAAATTTTAAAATGCAGGGGTTTTATACTGTACCTTTTTAGCGCAGGGAGCATATTTTAGCATTTATTATAAACTTCACTAGTTTCGTGGTCCGCTTGACCAATTAATATCATACAATTAATTAAGGTTTTTAGTTGAGATAAAAAAGTCAATGGCAGGAGCGGGATTCGAACCCAAGATCTTCGGCTTGATACGCCGCTGCTCTACCACTTGAGCTATCGTGACCTCGATCCACTCGGACACCAACCTCCCATCTCAACCACACCTTTTGAATTTTCCCTCCTTAAACTTAATAATAAATAATAAAAACCTTAATTAATTGTATGATATTAATTGGTCAAGCGGACCACGAAAAATAGTGAACTTTGAAAAAATGTCAAAAAGGAGGGAAAATTCGAGTGGTGGGTTGAGGTGGGGAGTTGGTCTCCGAGTGGATCAAAGTCACGATAGCTCAAGTGGTAGAGCAGCGGCGTATTTAGCCGAAGGTCGTGGGTTCGAATCCGCTCGTGACTCTGGCTTTTTTATCTCAACCAATACCTTACAAAAGTCTTGTATAATGTTAGTTAAGTGTTGAATACTAAAATTCTTCTTAGTTTTCCAAGTCTTCTATAAAATTGTTGTCTCTTAAGTCTTCTGGTCGTATTCCACGATATTCTGCTGTCGATAAGTAATGACGTAATGTAAAGGAACACTGTGCACACTTTTCCTTATTTTCCGTTTCATATCCTAACAGAAATTAATTACTGCGTTTCAGGTTGAGAAAATTGCTGAAGAGAATTATCTCGCTTGGGTTACTGCTAACTGTATTCCACTAAATTACCTTTAATAATCTTCATCATTGCTCATGAATAATATTCGTATTGTTTAGTAATACTAAAATAAATCGAAAATATTAAAGCTTTTAGTATTAAGCTTATCGTTATATAATTTTACGTGCATAGAGTGAAATAAAAAAATAATGTTTCTTAAGTGTTTTTTTAAATATCAATGTTTATAATAAATGCTAAAATATGCTCCCTGCCCTAAAAAGGCACAGTATAAAACGGGGAGAGGGAGAGCCATCATGTTACAAAAAGCTTAACCTTCACGCGTCTTCCGTCGAGCAAAACTCAGAAATGGTCGATCCTATCAATTTTCCTTTAAGTAAATATGACATAAAATAAGTCCTCGAATTGAAATGTATATTAAAAATATGGTATTCTCATGTAAAATAACAAAGTGTCATATCTTAGCTAAATGAGAAAGTAATGTTAAATCTGTTACCACCAGGTGATTTCTAGCTCAAATTAACTTGGGATTTGTATAAGACCATTTTTTGCTAAAGTTAATCGTTTTCGAAATAAACGGAGAGAGCCAACGTTACAAAAAAATCATACCCCTCACGCGTCTTCCGTCGAGCACAACTCAGAAACGATCAATACTGCCAAAAAAAAAAAAATCAGTAAAAATGGCATAACGTAAGTTCTAGAATCGAATTGTACAATAAAAAGATCTCATTTAAAATAAGAATGTTAGTGTCATTCCAGCTAGATGAGAAAGTTATGTTAAATCTGTTACCACCACGTGGCTATAGCCAAAATTAACTTGGGGTTTGTATAACACCATTTTTTTGCTAAAGTTAATTGTTTCCGAATTAAATGGGTGGAGTATAGAAGTTGATACACCCTGTATATCGTATTTAACCCACTAGTACGGATTTTTGTCACAGTTAAAAAAAAAAAATGATAATATAATATTATTTTAGGAGGGTATTTCAGCAGGTTATGTGAACCTTCGGGTTGCTGGTGTTTGTAAGGCTCTGAATTTGAACCCGAGGCCTTTACTTTACAGTGATGAGCGCAGTGTTACCACCTAAAACGTGTCAGCCATCGACACCCCTACAGTTACACATCAAACAATACTAAAATTCACTATAAACAAAAACTCTCATAACGCTTATAATATATGTAAATTTGTTGACTTTATTGTTTTAACAATAAAATTCATTAGTTCACTCATTATAGAAAAACCTATTATATAGAATGCAAAATTTTTGAATATTACCAATTAGTTAAGCATTCAGTACAATATAAATAAATGACTTTTCTGAACAGTCGTTTATTAACATCGGTTCGCACATCGTGACCAGTACAATTCTTTTCGATTGAAAGATCAATTAGAAATGATTAATATCTGCCAATTAGCAATAAAAATCTAACTGATGGCCTCATATCAATTTTAATTTAAAATGCTAAGTCTGAAATAATTTCGTTACACGGTCAATTTGAATAATTTAACGCAAATTATAGTTTAACGACTGTACAAAATCCAGTTGCGAACTGCCATTAAAAAAAAAAAAAACGGTGTAGTTTGAACAGTTTTTAGAAGACATAAAAGTTAAATTGTTAAGGTTTCAGTGGAAATTTAAAATAAATAGACCGGAAGTCTGATCTGAACATCGGCATATTGAATAATTGATTAAAATTAGTATTTGTCACGCTTTTTATCATGGATTACGAATTGAAAAATGAACAAAATTTCTCCGGATAAATTAAGCATATGCATTTTTTTCGATTCGATCGGCATAATAAGTAACAGTTAATACATTTCAAGTATATATTTCAGTTTGGTTTGTAACATAAAATAAGTTGTTATTAACACGGAACGAACCCAAACTATGTGTCAGTTCAGTGATGAATTAAATTAGTCTCTGCATTCACTAGGCTGTTAATTGTGGTCCGTTAGCTCCTCGCTCTGATTCTCATTTTAATTGCTTCATCATGAGCGACACGTTGACATTATTACGATAGTGCATCTCTTCAAAACATCAAAATAAAAACAAAAAAATGCACAAAACTAATTAATTTTTATTACAGTTAATTATTATATACATAATTATTATGCCGGAATAATTATTAAATATATAATTACTATACCGTATACAATCAAGTGAACAATGCTTAACATACAAATGATTTGAGTCGGGGTGATGATGTCAATTCATTTTTCCAAAATACGCTTATCTAATTAATTGAGCTGAAAAAAGATTATTCAATTTAAAAAAATTCTAAGTAGAAACATTTTGATATAAAACAGGTATGAATGAGCAGAGATGCTTCACCCATCAAGTTTATAGGACTTGGTTTATTCTGAATAACATCCACTTTGGACTAGAGTAAAATTGTTCATGTAGTAACATTAAATACAGCTAACGGCATTTGCGAACTTGCCGGGTTCTTTGGAGTGTCAAATGACTAGGGAGGGTGAAACTTGCATGTGGATGAAGTATAGGAGCTTGAACGCCCTGGAGAGGAGTGGTCCTGCTTGAATGCCCAAGCAATCC